AGGCTGTACTATTTCAAACAATGAGTTTCACACAATCCTGTATTCGGGTGAGCATCCTGTCCTAGTTTGGAATAGTCACTATAGCTTTACTATATGCAACTAGGTCGAATAGTCAAAACAGGGTACCTCAGCAAGACTACTTAATATACCTCTCACACCTAACACCGAGAAGTGAAAAGAAGATCAAACGGTACAGTGGTAGCCCAGATCTAAGGGTTGTGTTCCCAACATGGCAGAGCCCACAACTGGTCAGCCTTTTGGCAGGCTTTTAAGCAAGCCTCCGGCAAACTGTCCAGGATAGCAGATAACAAACACAGTGACTTAAGCGCACCAATACAAATGCAATGCAAAGAACATATATATATATATATATATATAGATAAAATTTCACATCATGAAGTTCGAGTCAAGTTCTCTAAAGTTCCCCAGCAGAGTCGTCAAAAACTGTAGCTCGACTTTTTTGCGTCTCCTTTCGGAAGACGAATCGGTCTTACAATATCGGACTCTCGTGGTTCTAAATCTGATTTTACAAGTACAATGTGAAACAGCGAAAACTCAAAAGAGTCCAAATCCGGCAATTCTTTTGGAAAATCAATGTTTTGAATCAAATGCCAAAAATAGACTGTTTTGCCGGATTTACAGAGTTGCCACCTGAATATTTTGTTTTGAAAAATTTAGAAATCCCGTGACTCATGCCAAAGGCCATTAGTCCATCATCACCAAATTGTCTCAACTCGGGAACTTAGGTACAAGAGGGAAATGTCATGAATTGGGCACCCCACTCGCCCGATCAAAGATCGACCTTTACTAATCATGGTGTGATTATTATTTACATTATATACTCTTGTTCCGGTTATTAAACTAACTTTACTATGTGATGCATACATGTATAGACTAATTTTGCAATCATTGGAACACTTGATTCATGTTTGTTTTGAAAATTGTTCCAAATATGTACCATTTGAAAAAGTGATCGCATATGAATATTACTCAAATTGTTCCAATTCAAGCATATAGCCTTCATCCACATGTATTCAAGCAGTTTATCAATTAAGCATTCAGTCTTATGATAAGCATGCTAGACAAGGAAATAATCATACTCATGCATCATGCTAAAGCAAATAAAAGCTTACCTAGTACTTCAAGCCAAAAAAAAGAAACTAGTTAGAAAAATGCATGATTCCTATGCAACATGACTAATGCAACACATGCGATATGCAATTACTAGGCTCGGTTACTAATATGGCATATGGATTAATTTCATAGTATGCGGTCTAAACATGTATTCAAAGAAGTATAAGCAATAACAATGTGAGTTAGGATGATGAACTGAGCCTCGATGCATGCAATATAAGTGGATGCAAACATGAAGTATGCTCAACAAAACATGATGCCCTAAACTAACCATCATAAGCTAGTAAATAAAAGGGAGAAAGACGTGGGGTTGGAAGACATACACAAATTATTACATATTTATCCTCACATAGGAGGGTTCGAATGTCCGAGTGTCTGAATTGACTACTTATTACAAATCCAAATGAATAAGTGAATAAATACTAAGCTATCATTAACTAACTACCTAATTACAAATTTGAGGATGCATAATGCTCATATGCACAGCGTCCAGAAACTTCTCTGTCTGCCCAGACTATTCTGTTTCACCTTCAGCCACTACCCTCTGTTTCTACACAACACACTGTCTTACCAAACATGGATGCTCGGCGGGCCCTCTCGGTGGGCCCTCACTAATACTCGACCGGGCCTAAGGAAGGCCGGTCGTGCCTCAGTTTCATGTAACTTCATTTTGTGCTCTGAAGTAAAAACAGTGCAAACAGAGTGTTCTGGACTCTGTTTGTCCATCTCACACTTCTCTATCATGGGAAATCCTTGAGAGAATGATAGAATTGTTTCCAAATCTATCAATGAGCAAATTGATTGCTTGATGATTTCGATGTACAATTTGGAAAAAAGTCAATAAATGAAAAGGACTATAACTACCCCTCCCTCCTATCATAGAGTGAATTCAAAGAGGGAGGTAGAGACGCTTCAAGGTTCATTAAAACATCATGAATAGATGTAAAACAAACCTTGACATAATGGACTCGGCATAACGTCTGGCTGAACCAAAGCAAGATAACTCATTTTCTTTATATGGGTTGGTTCATTTTAAGCCAAATTCATTAGTCCTTACCATACTTTAATCCATTAAGTCTAAGGTGATGATTCTGTCCACTAAAAGGAGAGAAGCGTCAAATGGGAAGTAATTCTCAATATGAAAGATAGATTACGCCGTTAACGATGAATCTCCATAGAAATTAAGCCATTAAGCGCAAAACTCTAGCTCGTGTGTTGAATAACCATCAACCATTTGAAACAACTCTCGAATGAAATAAAGGAGTGACAACTTGATTATTAAAATGAGATTATTAAATATGGAAGTGAGTTGAAGAAAAGCTAGAACAACATGTAACAAGCTATACAAGTGAACTTATGAGACAACAAATGAACTAATCAAAGCGTGAACTAATTAAATAAATTAAAACAACCCTAAAATAGCCCCTAATATGCTAAAACAGTAGCTAAAACCATGTGAAAAGAGCACAAAACGATAGGTAAAAAAAAAAGATACAAAGTTAGTAAGCAAAGCTAAGGAGGGGTGGCTAACCCCTCCACTTTTGGGACTTCTAAACCATATTTTAGCCTCTAAAAATAGTCCAAAAACAGCCCCAAAACAAAGAGAAATAAGTGGGAAACACAAGGATATAAGCTTGGAATAAGGTTCAAAGAAGGGTGGTTAACCCCTCTACCTTTGGTAGCTCTTAAATCACAAGTTTCAGCCCTTGAAAACAATCCCAAAACAGTATGAAAACACAAGAAAAAGATGGACAAAGATTGAAATGAAAGCAAGGGAGAAGGTAGATAGCTTTTACCTCTTGTAGAGAAGGCGCTCTTGTTGTAAACCAAACTCGATTACAAAGCACTCTCAAGTTTGAGTTATGGTTTTCAATCCTCAATCAAAGTTCCAAGTCCAAGCTCTTGCTATGGTATGTATGGATGATATGAGAGCTCAAGGGTTTTGAAAGTATGGAGATGATTTACAAAAGAAGAAGTTCAACTCTTTTATATTTTCTTACACCTTGATATTCTTAAACTCTTGATCTCTTGATATTTCTCCACCCTAAAACACAAGTCTAAGCCTCCTATTTATAGAATTCAAGCTACAGATCAAAACAACTGCAAAATTAGACAGCTAGCAGATTGTAGCACAATCTGTTTTGAAAAGTCAAGAGCCCGGCCGGGCTTCACTGATCCACGACCAGCTGTCACTGAGGCACGGCCGGGCCTCAGTGTAATTCCACTGTTTCTCACTTTCAGGTTCAATACAAGTTGGTACAATGTTCCAAACTGAGTTTATGGGGCAGAAATATAGTGGGTATGGCTGGTTGGGATTGTTTAGAGTTTGAAATCAGATTTCTTTGTTGAGAATTTAAACCACTTACACAATGTAACTTTTATCATCGAGTGCTCGGAATGAAGCGCCTAAGTCTTAAGAGCAGTCAAAATTGGGGTGTCTACACGTTACACAACTGGGCAGTCGACTAGTCAATGTAAATTTTTAAAAAATTTTGCCTTGAGGTGGTCATCCTGGGAAACATCTAGCCGGATGTCTGACTGGTCGTCCAATGGGTCAACACTCAACGACTATATATAGTAAATTGCTGAAAGGTGTAAGACATCCTCAGTTTGGTGAAACATTTGTTATATTTTCAATTTGATACAGGTTTGATGAAACCATTGGAACACACACACAAAAAAAAAAAAAGACTTTTTTACGAAATTTGAATTTGGTAATAGATTTGGTGCAGCATTAGAGGTGGCCTAACGACATTGGTACACACCCAAAACTATAGAATTTCCTAAGAAAGAAACCTTATGGAGTGTTTGATTTTCTTTGCATGCGTTTTAAATAAAATGGTAATTCCATTTAAATATTCATCAATAAGGAGCATGATCATTCCAGTGAGAGATCAAGAAACAGTCGTTTTATTCCCATCCAAACAATTCCAGTGAACTAAATTAAATACTCTCTTTGCTCTTGCCTTTATTTATTTATTTATATAATATCATATATATATTTTTTTGATTTCATCAATGAAATTCCTTTCTTTGCTGATTAAAAAAAAAATAAATAATATCTTAAAAAACATTCATCACATTTTGAGCTTGACAAGAAGCTTAAATTCCTCTGACACTTTTACACCAAATGGCGATGGATTCATCATTCATTTTCTTTTCACACTATATCTTTTAGCGCCCTAAACAATGCTAACCTTCTCAAAAGGAAAAAACAAAGTACATCAATTATTAGACATAATTATTTATAAGGGAATAAATGAGCAATTCCTTCAATTACAAATATAGTGACATTTTAAAATAAAATTACAGAAGTTGTACCAAATATCATCAAGAAATCAAAAATAAGCAATTCTCCAGCTCATCTTGAATAGTAAAGGACCCACCACAACCCAAAAACCAACAACAAATCCAAGTGTTGATATCGCATAGAACCACACTTTTGGAAATCCGTCTCTTTTTTCATTGCTTCCATGTCCAACTTTAGGTATTGCCTTGCTTGTGTCGCAGTTTGGGAGTGGAGGTCCACAAAGTTTGTTGCCGACAAAGCTGGAATTCTCTAAGCTTTGAAGTTGAGTACTTAATGGAATTTTTCCTATCAAATTATTATAAGAAAAATTCAAGTGACTCAAGAATGTCAAACTTGACATGCTCAAACGAATTTCACCACAAAGTTGGTTTAGAGAGAAATCTAGGGATTCAAGTTGTTCCATGTCACCAACTAGTCTAGTTAATTCTCTGGTAAAATGATTTCCTGACAGATTCAATGAATGCAATCCTACTAGTCTAGTTAGTTCCTTGGGGATCTCTCCAGATAAATTGTTTTCTGAAAGATCCATGCTTCTAACAAATTTAAGGAAGGTGCTTTATTCAACCTCTCTTCCTTTGGTCGCAAGAAATGCATTTTCTTGAGCTTCTGATGTAGGAATCGATGCATAATAAGAAAAGAGATTGCTTGAATTTTGTTTTTCAGCCATGGCAGTGAAATTGTTGAAACATTTTGGCACAACTGTTGAGAGATTATTATGTGAAAGGTCTAAGATTTGAAGAGAAATTAGACGACAAAGTTCATATGGAATGCTGCCTCGAAACTTATTTGAACGAAGGTTAAGAACTACCAATTTCGAAAATGAATTCCCCATCCAAGTAGGTATGCTTCCAATAAATTGATTTCCACCAAGATCAATGAGCACCAAGTTTATACAATGTTGTAGAGATTGCGGTAGTTTTCCTGAGAGGTTGTTATGTCTTAAGCGCAATGATTTGAGGGAAGTTAAATGTCCAATAGATGGTGGAATGGTACCCATCAATTTGTTATTTTCTAATTTTAAGACTTGCAAATATTGCCAATCCTGCCAACAATTAGGAATTCTTCCAGACAAATAATTATTTGCAAGATTAAGAACAATCAGCCAATTTTGTATCCTCATCCTACCACATAAGGCATGGTAAACCGATCCTAAAAAAGAATTATTTGAAAGATCTAACCATTCTACAGTAGAGGAGATGAATGGTAACATACCCTTGAAGTGATTGAAACTCAGGTCAATCACAGAAGCACTAATGAGAACCTTAAATTTTCTTGGAATCTCTCCATGAATTTGGTTATGAGAGAGATTTAATTGTGAAATGATAGAAATTTTCGGCCAAAACCATTACGGAATGGAATAAAAAATTCATGTGTTGGCTATGTCCAATGTTTCTAATTGTCCTTGGTATTGAAGCCAAGCTGGAAATTGCGGCCCTAATTGCCAAAAGGCCAACGTCAAAGCTCTAACTTGAAAAGTGGGGATTCGACCATCACGCACTTTTAAAGTTAAATTGTTCTCATTTCCATCTAAGTAACTTAATCTTGTGAGATTGGCAAAGTGAATCTCAGAGACAACACCCTTCATCAAATTATGAGATACATCTAAACTGTTAACATCCCAAATTTCCCAAGACTTTTAGGAAGAGTTCCATTCAAATGATTATATGAAAGATCTAAAGTTTCTAACTTTGCAAGTTGCCCAAGACTTTCAAGAAGAGTTCCATTCAACCGATTATTTGAAAGATCTAAAGTTTCTAACTTTGCAAGTTGCCCAGGACTTTGAGGAAGAACTCCAGTCAAATGATTATAGGAAAGATCTAACATTGCCGAGGATGATAATCTTTCGATCGACATTGGAATGGGACCATAAATGGAGTTGTTTGCAAGAGAAAGGTAGGTTAGATTTTTGAATTGGTCAGGCTCATTTGGAAATTGACAACCAAGATAATTTTTCTGTAATGACATCGACTCCAATCCAAATAACATGCAATGGGAGAAACATCTGAAAAGTTCTGTTATCACTTCACCCAATTTGTTATATGATAAATCAATTGTCTTCAACTTGCATAATTTTCCCAATGATCTGGGTATGTTTCCCTCAAGTTGATTGGATGACATGTCGAGGATAATAAGGGAAGTCAAGTTTCCTATGGCCCCTGAGATTACACCTTGCAAGAGATTGTCTATGAGAATGACCGACTTGAGACGGCTAAGACTAGACAACAACCCATTTGGCAAGGAAGTGAAAAAATTATAGGACAAATCTAGATCTCTAAGACTAGTCATGTTTAGAAGGCCAATTGGAATTGGTCTGTGAAACTTATTGGAGCCTAAGTATAGAGAAACGAGGTCTCTGACGCTAGACAACCCCTTGGGCAATGATCAATTCAGATTATTTCCAGCAGCATAAAACTCTTTGAGAGAAGTCATGTTTTGAATACCATTGGGAATTGGGTCATAAAAGTTACAATTATTGATATCTAGGGAAACTAGATGATTCAAACTGAAAATCCACTTAGGTATAGACGACGCAAAATTGCTATAAGACAGGTCGAGGATATGTAGTGATGCAAAGTTAACGGTAGTTAAAGGAGAAGAATATTTGAGATCACACCCACGTAACTGCAATTCTACCAAAGAAGGAAGTGTATTTATCATCTCTACCCAATCCACTGCTTTGCTAAGGTTTACTAATGACATATCAAGGTGTTGTAATGAAAGAAGACCAAAAACCCAGTGTAAATTATCACCACATAACTGAAATTCAGATCCAAGAAACATACCAAGATTACGATGAAGACCAAGATAACGCATCATGGTGAGATTTCCTATTTGAAGAGGAATGGCTCCGCTGAATCCAGCATTAGACAAGCCGAGATACCTCAAACGTCCAATAGAGCCAATGAAGCTAGGAATGCAAATCCCTCTAAAATGATTCGAGCTCAAGTCCAGATAACGCATCATGGTGAGATTTCCTAGTTGATGAGGAACGGCTCCGCTGAATTCGACATTAGACAGGTTAAGGTACCTTAAACTTCCAATAGAGCCAATGAAGCTAGGAATGCGAATCCATCCAAAATAATTCCCACTCAAGTCCAGATAACGAAGGTGCTTCAAATCGAGCAAAGAAGGATTTATTTTACCTCCTAACTTGTGATAAAGCCAGTAAGCTTCATATTCAGAATAATTTCCATAAAAATAACAATCAGCATCACTATAACTATAATTATAAGGAAGGTGGATCACATGGACATGGCCAGTGAAGTTGTTGCAGACGACTCCAAACCATTGACAACAGTTGTCACCAGCCCAAGAGGACAACCGGTTTGAAGGGTCTTTAAGAGCTTGCTTGAATTTTAGAAGGGCTTGCTTTTCAGTTTTGGAGCAAACAATGTTGGAGTTTCCATTGCAAAAGCAATTATGAAATGTTGCAAAGGTGAGAAAGCAAAGGTCAAAAAGAATTGCTGCAATTCTCATGGATGATGAACTATTAGGTTTTATTCTTGACAATCCCGTTTGACAAAACTCCTTTCATTTGTAATTTTATTCGTTCTTTCATTTCAGTAAAGCTATGAGTTTTAGATGCGAATCCAACCAAAATTGTGCCTTGCAGAGAAGTTTGTGGTGTTAATTCTTTCACGTTTGCCACTTCGCTGACTATGTCGCGGATCGAACTGAAGTAGTTTGTTCGCTCGAGCGAAGGAATATATGCTCGAGCGAAGAATCCTTGATCCCAGAAGTTTTCACTGACTATAAAAATACTGAGAAGTTGCATTTCTCACTCGGGCAACACTTTGGTGTCTCGAGCGAAGACACTTGAAAAAACACGCGTTTTAGTCTCCTCGCTCGAGCGAAGAGATCCTTCGCTCTAGCGACCTTTGCGGCTGGATTTTCTATAAATATATATTTCAGTTAGATTTTAGGGTTACGACTTCCAGATCTTCTTCTTGGATATTAGGATTTATATCTTGAACTTCTTTGCTAGTTTCTTTGATGTTTGTTTGAGTTTAAATCTGGTTTGAAAAGTATACATCAAAGAATTGTTTGTTTTGCTCAATACAAAAAAGAGTGTTATTCTTCGGTGGATTCTGTGGAATTCGGGCCTGAAGCTTTGGTGGATTCTGGAATGGCTCATCGTCGTGGATTCGATATCGGCGTTGTGGATTCAACGTTGGGCAAGACAATTTCGAGGTGAAAACGGGGCTGGAAGAGGCACATGGGGATCGGTTCGATTCAGGTGTGGATTCACTAAGTAATTGCGAGTACACTTATGTAATTCCTTTATGTCATTTTAGTGGATTATTTTGTGACTTTTGCCCGTGATTTTTTTATCACAATTGGAGGCGCTCCAATTATGGTTTTTTCACATTAAAATCATGTGTCGATTTGTCTTGATTGTTTGATTGAAATTATTATTTATTACTTAAAATTGAAACATAATCACAAATTAATAGCTAATAAATTTCTAAATTTCTCATGAACCCGTGATAAATATGCAACACAGTACAATTTAGTATTCGGTGTATTTGTGACTTAATATCGAATGTTACTCGCGCTATATGTAGTACGTTTTGCTGGGCAAAACTTGGCTGGTCAATATGGGGAGATATTTTAAATGACTTTTGTGTAACAATCCAAAGGAAAATGTTACAATCTTTGATTTTTCTCAGTTACGTCTCCATCAAAGTATCAGTGACTCGAAAGAATGAAATTTGAGTTTGGCTAAGCACGCGTCATTTTTTATTATATATTATATAGTTTATTTGGAATGAGAGTGGGGTCTACACATGTAGCTTTTATTTTTATTGTGGATAGATGGTAATATATATATATATATATAGATTTTCGAAAATTATATTTTTTGTATTTTTATGAATTTTTTTAATATTTTAAGCTTGTTTTTTTTTTCTCTCTCTCTTTAGGTATACATAATTTAGATACACTTAAATATATATTCTTTTGTATTTAGGTTATATGCATCTAAAAATTAAAAAATATATATATATATTTAATATTTAAAAAAAATAAAAAATCTAATTTTCAAAAAACTATTCCAAACCAAACTTTTGACGCTGTGATTGGTTGGGAAATTTGGAAAAAAAATAAAAATTGATGAAATGTGAGTAAAATATACCTACATTTCATATAGTTTCATACATCTTTTCTTTTCTTGTCTAAATCCCTCAACCGAACACAATGTAAGGATTCATCCATGAAAATGTAACAAACTCTAATGCAATTCATGTGTTTCTTCCTCTTGACGTGAAATTCACGTCAATATTAGCTTCCTCTAATGCGTTTCAAAATATTATTTCATATGCCGATCACACCTATTCACTCAAATTTTTTAAAATTATTTTTTAATTTAGTATTTTATCACTACAAGAAATTAAAATTTTAAAGATAAAAGTTTAAGGACAAAACAACTTTTTAGAGATAAAATATTTTTGTCCCTAAGTGTGCTATTATTCTATTTTTAGCGATAAAATTAGACATTTAGTAATTAATTACTAACCTTCTGAGATTAAAAGTTTTGTCTCAAAAAATAAATATTATTGAAAATTTTAGTTTCATAGAAATTAATATGTAATATGAATAATTTTTATTTTTTTTATCTTCACACAATTTAGAAAAAATAATTTGAAGAATATTCAAGAAATTGAAGTATGTTTATGAAATTTTCGGAATGCTTGTATAGAAATTAATATTTATTAAATTACATATTCTAAATATAGTGATGAAGTTCTTAATTTAGAGCCGTGAAACTTAACAGAAACTAAATAGTTTTTGGTAGTTTCAATTTTGATTCATTTTTAAAGTTTCATGATTCAGTTCGATCCATAAATTTAGAGAATAATAACAACTAATTTGATTGTTAATTTACCTCAAAATCAAACTAAATTTATCTAGCCACCCATATTGTTGCCCTCTTATGAATGAAACAATGATCATGACCACAACTTTACAATCTATGTCTGTGAATTTAGAATTTTAGTTAAAAAATTCAAAAAATTAATATTAAGGTCAACTGTCTTTCTATTTTTTTACATAATTTTTATAAAAAAATATTAAAAAAGTAAATTCCCAATGGATGAAAATGGATTTTGCATTTGTGATCCTATGAGATATTTTAAGCGACTTTTTTTGCAACAATCCAAGTTGACTTCACAGGGGCTGTGTTAAATGAATGCAAGGGGAATAAAAATAAAGAAAATTTTCATGAGATATACATTTAAAAATAAAGAAAATTAGTAGAACGTCTCCTTTAAGAAAATTGTTTACTCATAAATTTCATAAAAATATAGAGACTAATAACGTAATTTATTAGATTACGTTAATTGATAAAAATAACTTAAAGGTAATCTAATCGATTATATATTGATATCTAATTATATTTCAATTTCAAAATTTTAAAAAAAATAAAGGAAAAAAATTGTCACATTTATTTGTATATTTTTTATGTTCATGAAATATTTTTTTTTCAAAACTACTTATATGAGAAATTTTATTTAATTAGTAATGTAGAAAAATTACTTCAATTTTTTTGGCACATACCTTGATCGGCACCTCTAGACAATTTTTAATTTCACCCTCTAATTCAGAGATGTGATATGTAATTCCTAATTTTTCAACATAAACAATGTTATATAGATAATGTACCAATTTTTTAAAAATAAATTCCAAACAAAATTTAGTGAAGCATAATTTCAAATTTATTTATTAGAAAAAAAGATGTAAACAAGGATCATAATAATTGATAATTAAGCCTTCGTTGGGAATGTAAGTTGACTTTTTGACTATTTTAGTCTGTGGCTGAAAAGCCTCGTTTGTGATAGATTTTTTGACTTTTTTGACTTTTGTGAGAGAAAAAAATAAAATGATTATAATTTGGATGTGACATTTTATTATATTAGGCTAAAAAAATTATTTTGCCTTTTTGTGACTAAAATAGCTCCAACCAAGTCAAACCTTTATAACAAACATAGCCTAAGATTGAAACACGCGGTCTTACTACAATAGCTTAGTGAAAAGTCAAGAAGACAATTATGGTAGGAGGAAGTACACGAAATGTGATCTAGACACATTACGAAGAGGATATCAATTTCTTTTAACGTGTATTTCAAGAAGACAATTATGAGAGGGAGTACACAAAGCGTGATCCAGACACATCAGGAAGAAGATACCCATTTTTTCTAACGTGTATTTGACTTCATTGGAAATTCTATGGTACAGTGTATTATGAACATTTGGTTATGATTTTTATTTCTTAAGTTATAATTTATTGTTTTCGTTAATTATGATACGTTGTAATATTATTTTAGTTGTAATTTAAAAATTGCTTGGTTACACCTCATGTGATATTTAGTTATAAGACAATTTTTTTATTATTATTATTTTAGCTATAATTCACATAGTATTGATGCCCCATTTGAAATAACTTTTTTAGCGTGACTTTTTTATTATTTTAACCTGACTAAAAAAGTTTTTATGAGATAAATTTTTAGCTTTTTTTGTAGTTAATTTGATAGTTGTGAGAAAAAAAGTAAAATAATTATAATTTAAAAGTGACATTTTGGCCTTATTTGGAAAGTTGACTATTTTAGTTACCTATTCAACTGTTTGGTTATTTTAGTTTGGCTAAGATAATTATATTTGGAAAGTTTTAAAAAAATTGATTTGACAATTGTAAGAGAAAAAATAAAATAATTATGAATTAGATATAACATTTTATCAGTTTGATTTATAAATTTAGAGAATAAATAACGACTAATTTGATTGTTAATGTATCTCAAAATAAAACTCAACAACACCCCTATTGTTGCCCTTCTCATGGCTGAAACCATGATCATGTACCACAACTTTACAATCTGTGGCTTTGTTTAAGATGTGAATTAGTTATTTAACATTTTAATTTTTTAATTATTTTAACTTGAGAATAATATTTTTAATTCTTCACATATATATATATATATATATGAAGGGGTAATGTTATCATACATTTTTTGTGTGCAAGTTATACCATTTATAAATTTGATTATCACAAATGGCATAACTCAATATTATAGGAGTCATAACTAATTAAAAAAAATTAAGTCATAATCAAATATCATATGAGCTGTAACCAAACAACTCTTAAATCACAAATAAAATAATTTTATAACTAATATTATAATGTGTCATAATTAATAATATAGTAAATCATAATCATAAACATAAAAATCATAACAAAGCATGCATATGATAGAGTGTAGAGTAGAATTTCCCATGAAGTGAAATACACACTAGAGGAAATGGTTATCTTCTTCCTAACCACGGTAATTGTCTTCTTGACTCTTGACTCTTGACTGAGCTATTGTAGTGAGACCTTGACACATATTTCAGTCTTTAATTATTTTGTTATGGCTTGTTTACATCTTCTTTTTTTTCCTATAAATAATGGTTTTGTTTAAAATTTATTTAAAAATTATTGAAAAGTT